AATTACCTGGAGAATCCAGTTGGGTTTAAAGTTCTGACGTGTATCTTTTGTATTAACTATTTCTCCTGGGGTTAAATCATCGACAAATTTCCAACGATTTTCAGTAGTGGTTGCTGCATCATTTACCATAACTGTAAATATGTTGGTTCCCAATTTGTTACCCTGGGGACACCACAAGTAATAGTTTTAAGTTCGGAAACATGTCCTTTGAATTTATGAATGGGCCCTAACTATTTCAGCAGTTATGACGAAATATCGTGCACTTTATGATCAAAACATGAAACTTGGCACACATGTACTATGAACCATAACTAATATCTCACGTCAACAGCACCCTCATTCGGCCAGAAATGGTAAATTTCTATTTTTAGCCGTATTCAATATAAAAATGTACTTCAAATCAACCTCAGCTCTTTGTTTATATATTTATTAGGAATTGTTTGGTCTATTAGCGTAAAAATTACAATTAAAAGCGCCCTCCAGTGGTAAAAAAAACTGAAATTTCTATTTTAGTCATATTTATGGCAGTATTCCTTTCAACTTTAAAGTTAGATTTATGCAAAATTTTATGGTATTGAGGAACAAAAGACAACGGTTAATCGAAGATTTTTTTTTTAAACTGTCAACCGGGTGTTCATGGCATTATTGAAAGACATTGGACATTTAAAAAAAAACAAAAAACAAAAAGATCCCATGAAAGCAAAAATCTTTAAATATACCTAGGCATGGTACTTAACCAATCTGCTCAATGTAAAAATAAATACATAACTAAAATAACCCCCAGAAACATACCACAATGAACTTTTTAACATATATTTTACAAAATGTTTTTTTTTAATATAAATGTATACTTTCGATACCAAAATCCCAGGATCATTCAGATAAAATGTATGACAGTATTCAAGTTCAAATTAAGCAGCTTTTTATGGTATAAAAATGACAACGGATAATCAAAAAGTTTTGCAAAACGATTAACCGAAGTTCATGGCATTATTGAAAGACATTCAGAATTTAGAGAAAACACAAAGATGCGTTATCCCATGCAAACCTCAAATTTCCAAGGACAAAACATCTTTTAAAATACATCTTGGCAAGGCACTTTAACAATCAAGTTAAATCAAAAAAGAAATCTCAAGAAGTATGCAACAAAAAAGATGTTACAAATCTGTAACATCTTTTTTACAGATTTTTTAAATGTATAATCCTTTTTTTACAGACATGTAAGAAAACAAATCCCAGACGATTACGACCTTCCTTTCAGCATATTTTTTTAAAAACATTTTTTTTTAACTTGGGGGATTGAGGCAATGCCACAGAAAAAGTATACAGGATCCCAGATCAATCACACTATCCGGACCCGCCGCCAATCCCAGCGACCCAGCACAACCCTCTGTCGCACCGCCCCACTCCACCAACTTTAAAAGCCAATCCATCATGATTTTACACCTGCCTCTATGAAAAAAGAAGATGCCTCATTTTCTACCGTACGTTTTACAGAATGAACAAAATATCATTATTTAAAATCTTAAATACATAAACAAACTCCAGCAATTTAAAACCTATCTTTTGAACTTAAATTTTACAAATACATTTCTTGTTATTCTTTTGATACAAATAAATCCAATGAAAATTCAGATAAAATCTACTATTTTACTCCATTTAGCTGTAAACTTGTACATAGTATTTCTTTCCGTGGCATTATTTCTTTCACCTTTAAAATTTGACAATATTTCAATCTCACCATCTACAGAAGTACGAACTATTGGTTTGACTCTTGACCAATCACTATCTATAGAGAAACACATTATTTGATACTTGCAAAGCTGTTAGGTACACCCCACAACATCAATAAGGTAAGACATACTCAATCAAGATGCTACTTCCAAACTTCCATGCTTTAGTTACATCTCAATTGGATTATTGCAAATGGTGTTCTTAATGGCCTGTCATGAAAACTGCTAAGCAGCCAGACTCATTGATCTGGTTCCTAAGCGTGAGCATATCCCCAACTCTACATCGTCTCCATTGGTTACCCATTCATCTGAGAATTAACTTCAAGATCTTGTTATTTGTATAAAAGTCTCTCCATAAATCATCCCACACTATATCTCCAATCTTACTTCACTGCGTTCTGTCGTTTTCACCTGCTGCTGCCGTCCTCAACAGTCCCATTGGTTACATAAACACTTGCAGCGATCCTTCTGTTATTGATGCTGCTCCAAAGCTTTGGAACCAGCTACTTGAGACTGTACGTGACTCTCCATCTTTGACTGTCTTCAACAATCTTGGCTCATATCCCATCTTTTCACTGTACTTTAATTCTAAACACAATTTTTTTTTCTTTAGGTTTTTGATATTTTTTTGTGCACTTGGGTTGTGGTTAGTTAGCGCACAGGAGAGACGATTTTGTATTACTCGTTATATAAGCATATAACCATTACCTTTAAAATAATAGGTATGTATGCATGTTTTAAAGTTTAGGGTAATTAGCAATTTGTAATTTGATCGTTGTTTTTGTAACATGATCCCATTGATCGAGGCGTCAGCGTCAATACCGGTGATGAATAAAATCGCCTAAAAACACGCTTTATTTTCTGAAAATAACTATTCTGACACTTCCATACAATAAATATGTTTTCAAAATACATACTGTACCAGTATATCGACATATTTCCACCAATTGACCGAAACAATGCATGTGTTGTCAATTACGCTTGAAGCGAGCTTGTGTGTTTACAAAAATGAAAACTAACCCTGAACATGACCGTTGAACTTTTGAATTTTCTATTATCGGTGACTTGCGTCCTTTCCACGTTGAAAAAGATGAGAAAATAAGGAAAATATTGATATAAAGATCGTCATATTATCGTGATTTTTCATATTTTTCTTAATGTTTTTTGACACCACCAAGACTTAATTTTCACACGACTTTGGACGGCTAGGCAGAAAATAATATATTAAAGATTTTACTTCGCGAGGTAGGCAAGCTGTTGACGCTACGGTCCGTAGTGCGGAAAGAGTGACTGAACGCGGCAAAGTGCCTAGGGAATTTAGCCTAGACCCCCTTCGTAAATGTATTTTTATCCTGGCTGCTGGTTCAGGATTCAATAATTTATTTTCAAAATTATTCATAAAAATATTTATAAATATGAAAATCTATGATAGGAAATAATTTATTTTTAAATTATTTATTTTTAAAATAATCTTACAACACTAAAATAACAGGTTATTTAGAAGAATTTTTTAGAATTATCTTTTAATTGGTATTAATCATTATTGTATTAATCCGCCTTTAGAAAACGTTATATTTAACAATATTTCTGACACTTAAAAAATCTGAACTAATTGTTTATTTATTTATTTATTCAAGAATATTTCGAGAGGATGACCCATTCAGCGTGAGCTGATTTTAAGGGGCACTCATTGTATACAAATAATTACGGGTCAATGTTGGCAAAGGAGCAGTGGCGTATCTACGGGTCTTGAAATGGTGGTGCTGATGATAGGAGGGGTGCAAAAGTGAAGTGTTGGCGGGCTCAATGATCAGTTGAGGGGCGCTAATTCGGAAAATAAGGCGATTTTAGGTGATTTTTAACTAATTGGTTGTGATTGGGGGGCGAGGGGGGGTGCGCGAGTAATTTTTTGAGGGGTATGGGTATGGGGTAAGATTCTATTAAGATTCAATTAGGCCTACGAAAGTATTAAATCTCTATCTCTATATAATTAAGCATTTATTTCATTAAATATGTGGAGACTTGTAAAAATATATTGCCTCGACCAACACTGTTCCACTTATAAATATCTTTGGCAGGGGTGGCGCCAACGGGGGTGGGGGCAGGGCCCCCGTCAGGGGGAGCTGCCCCCCACAAAATTATGTGTATTTTCTACATATTAGTAGACTCTTGCACCCCACCCCCGTCGGGCAAATCCTGGCGCCACTCCTGATCTTTGGTAAGACTAGTTTATCTCACTCTCGGGCTATACTCACCTACTTCACAGTTGGCTCCTTTAAATCCTGCCGGACATATGCATACACCAGTTATGTCATCACATACACCGCCATTGTAACACACGGGACAGTCAAGTTCACATGAAGGTGGGTTCCATTTTGGAGAAGGACACGCTTTAATGAGACATTATGCATTAATAAGTTTAAATTACTAGCATAATGATATCTTATCATGATATCTATATTTCATATGACAACCTGTGAAATATGAGAAGATGCAACTAGACTCCATTGTACTAGTGTGTACTATATAGCCAGTCAAATAAAACCTATAAGATTATATTTTCCATTACCTCTAACAATGAGTCTCATTATTCCATGGTTTCCATCTTTTCCATATTCATCTTGATAACATTCATAAACACCGCCATCTTGCTTTCTTACATTTTCAATTTTGATTGTCGAACTTCCGTTCCATTTTGAGATGACGTCACCGTAGTTATGAGTCCATCGTAGATCAGTCATTGGTTGGTTTGTGGTCATAATTATTTCTACGTTCTCTCCTAATCCAACTGTCAATGTTCGTTGTTCAAACGTAATTTTTGCTTTTAAAGTTAAAAAAAAAACGTGTTAATAAGTGCAATAATTAAAAAATATAGCCGACAAATATGGTATAGTGCTGGTTGTGGAACAAGGCTTTTTGGATAAGGACTATAAACCGTAGGCCCAGTATCAATTCAACATTTATTTACTTTCTTTTTAACAGAGATAAATAATACAATGGTTTTTAAATAAATTGAAAATGCACAAAATTGATCATGAAAATTAAAAAGACAAGAGTAAGGAAGATGGCAATACCCGAGGAGATAATAAAAACCAATCTTGTGATGGGACAGCCAGAAAAAAAAGAAGAGAAAAGCAAAAGAGACAGCACAGGACAGAGACAAAAAAGACAAAACACAAAAAAAATCGAAAACAGACCGACAGACCAAAAAAGTGGAAATAGGGAGATATAATTAGTAATAAAAAGTACAAAATTAATAATCAGCAATTAAAAGTGTTTTTTGAATTGGTTAGCAAAAATGTTAATGGAAGATGCATTGACTAAATGAGAGGGTAACGTGCTCCAAAATTTAGGGCCCGAAAATCTAATATTATGCTAGAAATAATTGTTTCTGTGAGTGGGTATACGAATATTGGAGCTATTAAGTGTCTAATTATGAAAGGAGTAATTGGATTTGAAAATGTTACAGAAATGAGTTGGTAAGTGACCGTGATTGGAGGCGTACATAAATAGACATTACTGAAGAGAGTTAATGTCAGCGAATTTTAGAAGATTGAGATTAGAAAATAAAGGAGAAGAATGAGACCACGGTGGAGCGCCAGATATAATCCTGATAGCCTTCTTTCGAATGATTTGAAGTTTACTTAAGTTGGAAGGGTAGGTGTTTCCCCAAACAATGTTGCAGTAACTCAGATAGGGGAGAATAAGATAGCAATAAAGAATACGAAGAACGTTGGGGGGAACATATGAGGATAACCTACAAAAATACCAAGGCTTTAGGATACTTTATCTTGAATTGGCTGAGTTGCTTTTTCCAATTTAATCCACTGTCAAGATAAACCCCTAAGAACTTAGAAAATTGGGTATTTGGAATTTCATGATTATCAATATAAATTTTGAAAATTGAAAGATCGAGATTTTTTGGGGCTTCGAAACAGGATGAAGCTACACTTCTCGTAATTGATTGAAAGTTTGTTGGCGGCAAAATATTGGGAAATGGAAATTAAATTAGAGTTTACAGTATTGAATAAGGAATGGATATTTTTTAGAATATAGAATAGTGGTGTTGTCAGCATAAAGAAAAAAAGAAAGAAGGTTGGAAGACAAGTGAATATCATTAATATATAAAATGAATAGAAGAGGGCCCAATAAGGATCACTGGGGGACACCACAAATTATCTGGCGAAAATTGGAGATGGTGTTAGAATATTTAGTGCACTGTGAACGGTTAGAGAGGTAACTTCGAAAAAGATTAAGGGCTGGACCGCGCATACCATAGTGAGAAAGTTTAAATAAAAGAATATTGTGGCCAATTGTGTCAAATGCTTTGTAGAGGTCAATAAAAATTCCTATAGTATACTGGCTATTCTCAAATGCAACGACAATTTTATTGGTGAGGTCAGTAAGAGCAATGTATTTGTAGCCTTTTCTAAACCCAAATTGACTGTCATAAAGTATATTAAATTTGGTAATAAATTTAAGAGCTTTGTCATAGATAATTTTTTCAAGGGCTTTTGAGAAGACTGATAAGATTGAAATAGGGCGATAGTTTGAAAGTTCAGATTTAGGTGCAGATTTAAAAATTAGTGTAACACAGGCTAGCTTTATTCTGTTAGGAAAGACCCCTTTGGAAATTGAAAGGTTAAAAATATGACATAGGGGTTTAGTGATGAAGTTGACAACATGTTTGATGACTTTGGTATGAAAATTATCAATACCGGGTGATTTATTGACTTTAAATGAGTTTAATATACAGGCCACTTCAGTTTTATTAACAGGGGTAATAAAAATGGAATTAGGTGTAGATTTGGGTAAGAATTTCTTAAAGGATTTGTTAATTTAGGGAATTTTGTTAGCTAAAGTTAGTCCAATTTCAACGAAGTAGTCATTAAATGCAGATGCAATTGTGGCGGGATCCTTAGTTTGTTCGCCATTACAATTGAAATAGGGGTTTGTTTGATTATTGTGGTTTTTTTTATCAGCAGATTTATAGCATTCAAGGTAGACTTGATATCATTTTTGTGTTTAAGGAATAAATTTTGAAGTGGCTAGATTTAGTAATTTTTAATAAGTGATTGGACGAGTGAGGGATATTGAATAGATAGGACATATTAAAAACAGGAAGATGATCACTAATGTCACTGTAGAATAAACCACCAAGATTAGGGCAATCAAACATATTGGTAATAATATTGTCAAGCAGGCTAACAGATGTATTTGTAATACGGGATGGTCTATGAATAAGAGGGAGATAATGATAACTAAAGAATGAATCTACAAAGTAATGGGCATCGTTGCTAGATTCATGTTTAAGGATATCGATGTTGAAGTCACCAAGAACATAGGCATATTTTATTATTTATTTATTGACTGAACACTGTGAAACTGATAAATAAAGGGAGGGAGCTCAATACAGGGTGCCAACAATAATGTTTTACAGATTAGGTTGAATAATTTCGATAAAAACTTACTCACAAATATCGGAATTAAGGTGGAAATCTTTTCGTAAAGAGAACTGAAGGCCATCACGGATATATATGGCTACTCCACCACCATGTTTATGAGATCTGTGGTTAGCAACAAAGTTATAATTAGGAAGCTGGACCAGAGGATTATCGTTTTTGAGCCAAGTCTCACTAATTGAAACTATTTCAAATGGAAACTTAAGGGACATCAGAAACTGTTTAATTTGGTCAATGTTTTTTAAAGGACTTCTAGAGTTGAAATGTTTTGTGGAAAACTGTTTCTTTTGGTATTGACTAAAGATGGGAACTGGCTTGGGTAATAATATTCGGAAGTACTAAACTGGTTAGTATTAAAAAAATTGAAAATCGGGGTCAAAATCAGATGTAAATTGACCATGATTATCTTCAGAGAGAGAAAAAATCTGGTCAGCTAGTCGGTCGGTGTTCGAAGTGTTTACAGGGGGTTGGACATTGAAATGAGACATAAACAATACAGAAAAGGAAGGCCAATCAAAGAAGAAATGGAAAAAAAATCAGTTATTAAATGGTCAGTGAAAAAAAAGCTTTGTTTACTTAAAAGGTCAATGAAATGCAAACCATAAAAGACTCACAAATTGCTTGAAATTCATTGAATAAAGCCCGGTATAAATAGTAAAAATATAAGATATACTACAAGTTATATTAATAGGCACTAAAGGAGCAGACGCATCCTAAAGAATAGAAACAGTATTAATTAAATATATCATATAATAAATATAATGAAGATAATAATAATTGTAAAAATAATGAAAGATAAAGATAATTATACACATCAACAACAATAATAATAATAATAATAATAATAATAATAATAATAACAATAATAACAACAATAACAATAATAATAATAATAATAATGTATTATAAAAAAAAATCAATATCATTAAATCCAAGGTAACGAGATTATATGTACCATTGTATTACAATTAAAAAAAAATGTGTATTGTTAGAGCATCATAATCATGACATTAGACACAATATAGTAATTAAAAGTGGTTAATAATGGCAGGTAGCATAATTGTAACAAATATGATGTAAGAAGGGTCATAATAAGCATTGAACAGAAGCTATAGTAACATAATATGTCATGAATTCCTACTTGGCGTATTTCCGAGCGGTATAGAAATGACTAGGAATCATAAACACATTGAATCATAAACACATTGACATATAAAATATACATACAGCTCACAATGTTGTAACACAACTCTCAAATAAACTTTTATTCTGTATAAACTCCCAACAAGAATCCGGTATCAAAATAACACAATAACATTCACATAAACATGTGTTTCAAAAAGAGCTCCAGAAAGATAAAACTATCAGCTTATATATCCTAGCTGTACAACTCCAGAGCATTCAAGAGCATTCCATAATGCCTAAGTTCCCCATTGATTACCTTACATCATGATTAACCAATTAGGCTTATTTGCCTCTATAGTACCAAAGATTCTAGAAGCTTCCATATATTACTCCTGGATTCTACATGGTGTCATGTGTTCCTAAAATTACCGATGTGGTTTACACTGTTTCTTTGATCAATTAAATGTTATTCTAGAATGTTCTATGTATTAAATATGTTAAAGTAAGGCAAGGAATGGTAATTTATTACACAGTATAATGTCACTATAATAAGAATCGGTAATGATAAGAATCGCATAATAAAAAGAAAATAATAATACTGAATAATAATAATAACAATAATATTAATTAAGTAGATAAAAGTTATGATTATTGCAGGAACAGAGGCATCATGTAAAATTGTAAAAGTATAATAGGATGTCAATGTAGAGAAGATCAACATAATGATAATAATAATACTAATAATAATAATAGATAATAATAATAATAATAATAATAGCAAGTATAATGATAATAAAATAATAATGTTAATAATAAAATAATAAATAGAAAAAAATAATATTAATAACACAAACATAAAAATAATATTAATATTATTGATAAAAACAATTATTAATAAATGCAAGGTGACGACAAATACAACCTTATACCATAATAATCAGAACGTGAAAAAAAAAATCACTCAGATTAAAACATCATTCATTCATGATAATAGGAAACAACAACATAATTAAAATAAAAATTGATAATAATAGGATAAAAATTAAAATGTAATGAAAGTTGTAATAAGCATTGAAGGCTATAATGTTGATCAGTACATTTCAAAACTACGGAGGTCGGATGTTGACCTGATGGCAATCTTTTTCTTGTCTTTCTTCAGTAGGCAATTTATTCTTCGCGTAGTAGGTTCATGCGCAAAAGTGTTAAACTCTCTGTTATGGAGAAGGATGACTTTTTCAGCAATTTCTTGTTGCGAAATACCT